GTAGTTACATGTATCAGTATTATCTGTTGTAACAAGTATCAGTATTATCTATAGTAATGTGTATCTTTATTTATTGTAGTATCAGTATTATCTATAGTAACATGTATCTTTATTTACTCTAGTAAGGTGTATTAATATTATCTGTAGTAATGAGTATCAGTATGATCTATAGCAGGGGTCCAAACTCGGTCCTGGAGGGCCGGTGTCCTGCAGAGTTATATCCAGCTTGCCTCAACACACCTGGTTGGAAGTTTCTAGTATGCCTAGTAAGACCTTGATTAGCTGCTTCAGGTGTGTTTGATTAGGGTTGGAGCTAAACTCTGCAGGACACCGGCCCTCCAGGACCGAGTTTGGGCACCCCTGATCTATAGTAACATGTATCTTTATTTACTGTAGTAACCCTTATCTTTATTTACTGTAGTAACGTGTATCAGTATTATCTATAGTAACGTATATCTTTATTTACTGTAGTAACATTTATCAGTATTGTCTGTAGTAACGAGTATCAGTATTGTCTGTAGTAACGTGTATCTTTATTTACTTTAGTAACATTTATCGGTATTATCTGTAGTAAGGAGTGTCTTCATTTACTGTAGTAACGTGTAGTGTATCAGTATTGTCTGTAGTAACGTGTATCTTTATTTACTGTAGTAACATTTATCTGTATTATCTGTAGTAAGGTGTATATTTACTATCGTAACATCAGTATTATCACTAGTAACGTGTATCTTTATTTACTGTAGTAATGTGTATCAGTATTATCTGTATTTAGGAATGTCTTTATTTCCTGTAGTATCAGTATTTCCTGTAGTAACGCCGTTGGGAGGCGCGTCTATAGCAACAGATTTGCAGACACGAGCACAAAGCGATGCATCTGTAATTTTATTAGCTGTAGCACCGGTTATTCTGGACCTGTATACACTAATGTACTAATGAGTTATTAAACTAAAGTGTTTGCTTGCAGATTTTTGTCATGCTTCAAATCCCAATGTCAGAATATGAGCGCAAACATCTGTCGACACTGTCGAGACTTTCTGACGACGGTAAGTGACATTCTAACTAATCAGAACTACTGGATTAACCATAACTAATGTCTGAAATACAAGCACACGTCTGCATCGAGCATGCCAGTCATATTTCTCGCGTCTGTTTGTCTGTTTCATTCCACACAGATATCGATCATATTTGGTCGCTCGTGTCGTGTTTTATTAAGCAACAGATGTTCATGCGAAAGGTGCGAATGTGCATGCTTAGGCTCTTCTGTTCCTCATCTATTATGCTCGTTGTTTTTCTGTTTGTAAACGTGAATAATAGCGTGTTCATTCGGTTGTGGTGTGTTTTAGGGGGTTTATATCTTCGGTTTAGGGACTTTCACGTTCTGCCAGCAGAAACTCAACCTCGGGAACAAACATATTCTCATACAGAGACCTGTTTTCATCCTGGCAGAGAAACTCTCTCATTATTATGGATTTAAACAGATCAAACCACAGGCTACAGGTCAGAACAATCATTTTTGTTCATTTATGTACATTTACACAGAAGATGGACATTGTTGGCTGAATTAGATTTTCATGATCCACACCTGATCTAAAGGTTTCTCAGATGTGTCACAGATGTCGTGAAAGCTACTGTTGATCAGACTCTGGTGTCTCCTCAGACGTGCCGGTGGGGCCGCTCAACTTCTCGGCCCTGAGCGCAGAGGGCCCGTTCCAGAGAGACACAGTGGAGAGATGCGTGCGAGAAACCCTTCACCTGCTGCTCCGCGCCGCAGCCACTCGACCATCTGTCTCGCACGCTTTTCCTGGGATCGGAGTCCTGACTTTCCGGCAAAGCCGAGTCAAGATGCTGTTCTGCCGTGACTTCATCTCAGCCTTAGACGGCACTGGGAAACTTTCCTCAGCTTCAGCCAGCGTCAGTCACAGCGAGCGAGACTTCAGTGTGTTTGAACCTGCTGGAATCTGTTTAATTAGACTCTGTTGATTTGCAGAGACCGGAGTCGAGGAACTCTAGAGAATCTGAGAGAAGCTGCAATGTGCCGCGACCTGCGACCTTCAGCGGCGCCACGCTTCCCAGAATATCAGCAGGAGAAGCCCTGAGAAAACAGCTGCAGACTGATGAAGATGATGATGATGGTGGATGGGGTTTGTCATGAGTTGATCTGGGCTCATGCTGACAGTTTGAGGAAATATGGTAGCTCTGTACTGTTCTGTGTTAGACTCACTCTCATCTCATTATATCTGCAACAGAGAAGCGTCAGCCAGCGGACAGAGCGACTGCGACTGACCTCACAGACGGGCTGGAGGACAAACGCCCAGCAAACGCTGACAGGTAGATTCCGGCAGAAGATGATGAAGAATCAGCTGGCCCAGCATGAATTATAAATATTGTCATCATAACCACTGAATTAAAAACATACATTTAAATTTAAATACATTACTTATCATCACAGAAATAGTTCAGTCTTAGTTAAAAATCCTACTGGGTAGGAAACCAGTTAAAAATCTGGAATTAAAAATGTCCTCTTGAGGTGATTTGTGTTTCTTACCGGCATCTGATGACAGAAAGGTGCTCAGATTATCACATGACCCTCTCAAAGACACTCAGAACAGAGGCGTTGTGTTACGGTGAACTCTGTGTGTGTGTGTGTGTGTGTGTGTGTGTGTGTGTGTGTGTGTGTGTGTGTGAGTGTCATCAGCCCATTGAAACACTTTCAGTCTTAGTTAAAAATCCTACTGGGTAGGAAACCAGTTAAAAATCTGGAATTAAAAATGTCCTCTTGAGGTGATTTGTGTTTCTTACCGGCATCTGATGACAGAAAGGTGCTCAGATTATCACATGACCCTCTCAAAGACACTCAGAACAGAGGCGTTGTGTTACGGTGAACTCTGTGTGTGTGTGTGTGTGTGTGTGTGTGTGTGTGTGTGTGTGTGTGTGTGTGTGTGTCATCAGACCATTGAAACACTCGAGCTCTGCAGGAGAAAGTTGTTTAGTTGTGACGTAAGACCGGTTAGTGTGACTGAAACGTGAGCTTTACCCAGCAGTGAATGCAGTCTGTCAGCGCGGCTCATCTCGCTTTAAACATGCATCACCGCCTGTGACTGAACACACTGAGCTTCAGATTTGGGTTTAAAAAATAATGTTTCCTTCATTTGGCCTGGCGGTCTTATGGTAAAATTCTTATGATAATATAGTAATCTTCTATCATTAATAATCTGTTAACAGTGCTGGGGGTAACACATTACAAGTAACGCAGGTTATGTAATCAGATTACTTTTTTCAAGTAACTACTAAAGTAACGCATTACTTTTTGATTTACAAGAAAATATTTGAGTTACTTTTTCAAAAAAGTAATGCCAGTTACTTTGTAAATAACACAAATTTATCTAATCCTATTTTATTAACTAATGTCTTTGCTGCTGACCTTTGATGATCCAGTTCAACCATACTAATAAGCAAAAATAACTTTAGATAAACTAACAATTGTGCTTCATTGTTTTTTATTGCTGAAGAGTGTTGTTTCTCCTGTGTTCTACTGTACAGACGTGAATTTACTTTTGCTTCAGCCTGAGGTTTATTCATTACACTTTTTGGTGTGAAAGGGCTTTTACATTTGCTATAAATAGAACTTCTTATATTCAAAACAATCAAACCCTGATCATATTTAAAAAGTAACGCAAAAGTAATGTAACGCATTACTTTCCATAAAAAGTAACTAAGTAACATAATTAGTTACTTTTTTAGGGAGTAACGCAATATTGTAATGCATTACTTTTAAAAGTAACTTTCCCCAGCACTGGTTACTGAGTCACTGTAACTGTGTTCTGGACTTATTTAATTGTATCAGCCAGCAGACATTTACACATTTAGTCATTTAGCATACGCTTTTATCCAAAGCGACTTACAAAAGACCGACTCAGTGGATCTGTGTCGGCCACTCTGCTAACAGTTTCTGTGTGTAACTGTTTCTAAATGAAGAATAGATGAGTGTTCGATTAGCAGGACAAATCTGAGACTTTCTCTTTGTCATGAACACAGAGGCGTCTCTCTCAGCATCGCGACAGTAAAGAGCAGCGCTGCAGATGCGAGTCTGGACCGAGCGTGCCGTGACCACAGACGGGCCGGACAGGTGAGCCTTCATCACGTCTGTGCTCTCTCTTCCAGCTCGTGATATCAGCTCAGGCTTGTTGATGTGCGTCGCAGGAGCTGTGTTATGTCTGCATGCAGCGAGCGCAGAGAAACCTTCCTTTATTCCAGTCTGATGAGAGCAGAGCCGAGCGCGAGCAAGAACGAGTGTTAATGCTTCAAGAACATCAGAAAGACCTGCAGTATTTCCAGAAAGAAGAGGTGCCCGAGCACACTCATATACTGAACGCCTCATTTCAATAGGAATATCACATTAAATTCATTGCTGTTAATAGCATTCACCGTCTGTTTTACTGTACGTTTCTAGCATATGGACATCAACTTGACAGACGCCACACTGCAAAAAAGGCTTATCTTAGTATTTTTGTTTTAAGAATATTTTACCCCACTGGCAGATCATTTTATTTATTTTAAGCAAAATGCACTTCATTTAGTTTCTTTCCCCTGGAAACAAGACTAAATATCTTACGTCAGTAAAATACATCTAGTAAATGTATCTTAATGTAAGAATTTTTTTGATGTTTTAACTAGAAACTTAAACTAGAAAAATACTAAGATAAGATTTTTTGCAGTGCACTGATGAGCTACTACTAAATATAATATACAAACTTTAATTTTCTGTAAAGCTGCTTTGCAATGATTTGTATCGTGAAAAGCACTATACAAATACACTTGAATTGAATTGAATTAAACTACTATAAACCTGTCTTGGACCGTTCCATCACTGACAGATGGACAGACAAAAGAAGCGTGAGGACAGTCAGAAGCTGGCGGTGTTTAATCTGGCCGCTGCAGAAGCTCAGAGACGCAGGAAAGCGCAGGCATACCCCTGTCTTGGACCGTTCCATCACTGACAGATGGACAGACAAAAGAAGCGTGAGGACAGTCAGAAGCTGGCGGTGTTTAATCTGGCCGCTGCAGAAGCTCAGAGACGCAGGAAAGCGCAGGCATACAGCCAATCAGAGCTGATGCAGGAGGCAGCCAGACGCAGACAGATGCAGATGGAGCTGATGCAGACGGAGCTAATGCAGGAGGCAGACAGACGCAGACAGATGCAGACGGAGCTGATGCAGACAGAGCTGATGCAGGAGGCAGACAGACGCAGACAGACACAGACGCAGACGGACAGACTGCATCTGCTGCAGCTCTCAGAAGAGTGAGCATCTCATCGCAGCGTTGTGTGAACGTGTTTAAGATGATGGTGTGATTGTTTCTGCTTGTTTTGTGATTGTTTGCATCAGGATCGCATTAGAAAAATCTCAGCAGCTTCATGAGAAACACGAGACGGCCAAGAAGTACCAAAAGGCACTTGAAGCACAAGTGAGTGACTTTCGTTAGTTTCCCGTTTGGGATCAGTTGGGTCAATTACACAAATACACTTGAATTGAATTGAATTAAACTACTATAAACCTGTCTTGGACCGTTCCATCACTGACAGATGGACAGACAGAAGAAGCGTGATGACAGTCAGAAGCTGGCGGTGTTTAATCTGGCCGCTGCAGAAGCTCAGAGACGCAGGAAAGCGCAGGCATACAGCCAATCAGAGCTGATGCAGGAGGCAACCAGACGCAGACAGATGCAGACGGAGCTGATGCAGACGGAGCTAATGCAGGAGGCAGACAGACGCAGACAGACACAGACGCAGACGGACAGACTGCATCTGCTGCAGCTCTCAGAAGAGTGAGCATCTCATCGCAGCGTTGTGTGAACGTGTTTAAGATGATGGTGTGATTGTTTACAATTATGGGTCTTTATCTCATAAATGAAGCAGCGCTGCATGTTTGGCACAAGATTTATGTCATAAATCAATAGACATGCGGATGATTCTTAATGCTCTGATTTAGGATATCTCAAGCTTTTTTCCGCACAGTTTTGAATTTGACATTTATTTGTGTATTGAATTATCTCACTCTTAAGTTGTTTCAAAGAAGCTTTACAGAAAATTGGTGCCTTAATGTGTTAAAGCACCCAGTGAGATAAAAAATGCCATAAGATATTTAGATCAGACCTCCTCGTCCTCCTCTGGATCAGTGAACTGATACTAAATATGATGTACTTCCACAGTCTGTGTTATACAAGTCGTGATTGAGCTTTCAGTGTGTTTAACTGTAAGGATAATATCAGCAAATCAGATCAGTGACGTTCTCTCTGGATCATAAACACAGCAGCAGCAGTGATCAGGACTGATTCTGCCTTTCATATGTTGTTCTGAGTGTGGAAGCACGTTGTTAAGTGCATTAAGGCTCACTGTCCTTAATTTGTCGTTAACATGCATTTCTGTAGCTCAAACAGTAAGATCCCAGGGTTTGAGTCCATGAGCTGATAAAATGCGACAGCTTTGTTTCTATCAAAAACTTCCAGAGTGTTTCATTCTCCAATTATGGGTCTTTATCTCATAAATGAAGCAGCGCTGCATGTTTGGCACAAGATTTATGTCATAAATCAATAGACATGCGGATGATTCTTAATGCTCTGATTTAGGATATCTCAAGCTTTTTTCCACACAGTTTTGAATTTGACATTTATTTGTGTATTGAATTATCTCACTCTTAAGTTGTTTCAAAGAAGCTTTACAGAAAATTGTGCCTTAATGTGTTAAAGCACCCGGTGAGATAAAAAATGCCATAAGATATTTAGATCAGACCTCCTCGTCCTCCTCTGGATCAGTGAACTGATACTAAATATGTACTTCCACAGTCTGTGTTATACAAGTCGTGATTGAGCTTTTAGTGTGTTTAACTGTAAGGATAATATCAGCAAATCAGATCAGTGACGTTCTCTCTGGATCATAAACACAGCAGCAGCAGTGATCAGGACTGATTCTGCCTTTCATATGTTGTTCTGAGTGTGGAAGCATGTTGTTAAGTGCATTAAGGCTCACTGTCCTTAATTTGGCGTTAACATGCATTTCTGTAGCTCAAACAGTAAGATCCCAGGGTTTGAGTCCATGAGCTGATAAAACGCGACAGCTTTGTTTCTATCAAAAACTTCCAGAGTGTTTCATTCTCTTGAAAACATTGTCATAAACAGTAATATATCAGTAATATATAATGTTTTTCTGTCTGTTTGCGTTTAGACGGATCGCCGCTGTTCAGAAATCTCTCCGCATTTCGACGCGCGGCCCATGTTTGGACTGATGGACTCCAATCCGGCAGCTTTAGCGGAGCAGAGATGGAGAACGCAGAACATCTCTGAAGAGCTGATGAATACAGCCAACCAGAGGAGGAGAGAAACGCTGGAGAAACGCTTGAACGAGCAGAAGAGAGAAAGAGAAATGATGCAGAGAGACCTCAAAGAGTGAGTAACAAAACCAGCAAACAAGCATTAATCCTAAAGAGAAGAATGAGTTCTTGTTGTCTGGGCCTGATGTGCATGTGTCTCAGATCACAGTCGGATGGTTTGAGTGGAATGAATGTCTCTTTCGCAGAATGTTAGACGAGCGAATCCGTCGTTACGAGAAGCTGCGTCTCCTGCGGGCCGCGTGCGAGGAGAGCTGGCACCGCAGCGCCGACCTCAAACACCAGCGAGACCGAGAGGAACTCAACAGCAGGAGGTACAGGAACAAACTGATGATTAGTTAAATGTATAGATGGAATAACGAGAGAAAAACAGAGAGGTCATGATGAGCGATCGCAGGATGTCAGAGCCAGAGTTTCTGTAATCCTGATGATGTTTCTGCTGTTTCCTTCAGGTTCGGTGGTCAAACTCTGACAGAACAACTGGGAAAATATGAGCGATGCAGTCAATGCAAACGCAGCACCGCCAACCGCGGCGAGAGCAACGTCTTCAGAGACACGGATTATGTGACTGGAGCTCGACTGATGCTGTAGACCTCGGATTTCAACCCAGATAATAAAGATGAGCAAAATAAGTGTATGCTTCCTCATCCACATTTACAGCAAACTGAGAGCATCTGCTGTGTTCATTTACACAGAGATGAATCACATTGTGTTTATTCTTCAGCACTGATCTCATCACAGTCGCATTTCAACATCAGCGAAGATGAAGAATGTGACGCGAATGTGCAGATGCAGATGTTGTTCTTATCTGATATGTTTTGAGCAGAACTTTAAATGCGCCTTCAGCCGTAGAACATGATATTGAGATATTTTGATATTCATAGATCCACAAACGCTTTGTTCTCTGTTCGCAGAATTTTCTCAGAAAATTAATTCTTTGGAAAGAGATGAAAGTTTTCTGCATGTGATTCATCAGTATAAAAGACGTGGTGGAGAATGTGCCCATGATGCTCCATTAGTTCATATTTAACAACATATAATGTTCTTGCATAATGACCTGTGCTCACCTTAGATGCAATTCAGTGTTTAACATTGACACTGAGCTTTCATATGCACCAATGTCTATTTAGACTCTGAAGAATGGTTGCATGTGATCAAATGCTTAAAATTATTACAGTTCTTATATACGCAGAATGTGTCTGTTAGGAGCCGTCAGTGCAGCAAATGCAGAAATGGACACCAGGTGGGGCTTCAATGTCAAAAACACAACTGACTTCATTCAGTTTCGACAGCCAAAACCACATCGGAGCGACAAACTCCGACAGTGATCGAGAGTGCTTTACACGCAGAGCAGAAGACACTGAGATTGAGAGTATTTTGCAATCATGGCCTCACATTTACTGTACATCTGTGCTAAAAGTGAATGAAGCCCAAAGGAGCAAAGTTAAATTCATGCATAATACACAGTCAAGCAAACGTACAAAAACAAATAGTCTTCACTTCACTGAGTGTATGTTCAAAACGCTCTGCTGAGAGCAAATGATGGAAATACAGAGTGAATATGAGAGCGTGTGGACAGCTGTTCCACTTTCCCAAGACACCAGATCAAATTGATATTCCACATTTATTGAGCAACACATCAGCCAGAGTCCGTTCCTGATTCCAGATGTTCAAAACACACTCAAGAAGCCAGTAAACCACAGAACCGCTTCTTCTAATTCAACCCTCGTGTGAATTATTTTCTCTTGATATTTTGTATTTGGTCTAGTGTTGCTTTAAATCTAACACTGCGTCTTCAGGGTGTCTTTGACAGACAGTGAAGCAGGACAGACGCAGAGAGACGTCACAAGCTCATCCTACTGTTATCTCAGTCCAAAAACACAGAAGAGAGACGAGATGCGTCCGCAGACGTACAGCTGCTAATGTGACATCAGGCTCACGTGAGCAGGATAGAGTCCAGCCTACAAGACGATAAAAGTCATCTCAAAGAGGTCAGAGGTCACAGCACACATTCTGTTCACATGTGATTTTACGAACCACGGGGGACAGAAGTGACTCATGAAGCTCAGTGAGGCTGAGGAGAAACACACACAAAGGTTTGTCATCAGTAAACAAACGCATTTTCCAAACCGCACGGACTTGAGTATAACACACACACACACAGACAGACAGGTTTGAGTCATCAGTAAACTAACACATTTTCCAAACCACATGAACTCACACACACACGTTTACTTGGCTATCTAAATGGGGACTCTCCATAGGCGTAATGTTTTTATACTGTACAAACCGTATATTCTATCGCCCTACACCAACCCTACATCTCTCACAGAAAACTTTCTGCATTTTTACAATTTAAATAAAACTGTTTTTTTTATTTTTAAACCAGTTTTACAAATGAGGATGTCTCCAAAGGGAGGTTTTTGGAGATTTTGTCAGGTTTAGCTCACTTTTGGGTACAAATTTGTCCCAAAAATATGGTTAAGTAGGTACACACACACTCACTCACTCACTCACACACACACACTCGCTCGCTCGCACTCACTCACACACACACGCACGCACGCTCGCACTCACTCACACACACACACACGCTCGCTCGCTCGCACGCACACACACACACACACAGGTTTGTTTTTGTGAAAAGTGGGGACATCCTATAGGCGTAATGGTTTTTATACTGTACAGACCGTATATTCTATTGCCCTACACCAACCCTACCCCTAAACCTACCCCTCACAGGAGACTTTGTGCTATTTCAGATTTTCAATACACTCCATTCTGTGTGATTTATAAGCGTTTTGAAAAGTGGGGACATGGGGTAATGTCCTGAAAAGTCACCTTCTCCTTGTAATACCTGCCTACAAGACGATAAAAGTCATCTCAAAGAGGTCAGAGGTCACAGCACACATTCTGTTCACATGTGATTTTACGAACCACGGGGGACAGAAGTGACTCATGAAGCTCAGTGAGGCTGAGGAGAAACACACACAAAGGTTTGTCATCAGTAAACAAACGCATTTTCCAAACCGCACGGACTTGAGTATAACACACACACACACAGACAGACAGGTTTGAGTCATCAGTAAACTAACACATTTTCCAAACCACATGAACTCACACACACACGTTTACTTGGCTATCTAAATGGGGACTCTCCATAGGCGTAATGTTTTTATACTGTACAAACCGTATATTCTATCGCCCTACACCAACCCTACATCTCTCACAGAAAACTTTCTGCATTTTTACAATTTAAATAAAACTGTTTTTTTTATTTTTAAACCAGTTTTACAAATGAGGATGTCTCCAAAGGGAGGTTTTTGGAGATTTTGTCAGGTTTAGCTCACTTTTGGGTACAAATTTGTCCCAAAAATATGGTTAAGTAGGTACACACACACTCACTCACTCACTCACACACACACACTCGCTCGCTCGCACTCACTCACACACACACGCACGCTCGCTCGCTCGCACTCACTCACACACACACACACGCACGCACGCTCGCACTCACTCACACACACACACACGCTCGCTCGCTCGCTTGCACTCACACACACACACACACGCTCGCTCGCACTCGCACTCGCACACACACACACACACACACACACGCTCGCTCGCTCGCACTCACTCACACACACACACACGCGCTCACTCACTCACTCACACACACACACACACACACACAGGTTTGAGTAATCAGTAAACAAACACATTTTCCAAACCACACGGACTTGAGTATAACACACACACACACACACACACACACACACAGGTTTGAGTAATCAGTAAACAAACACATTTTCCAAACCACACGGACTTGAGTATAACACACACACACACACACACACACACACACAGGTTTGAGTAATCAGTAAACAAACACATTTTCCAAACCACACGGACTTGAGTATAACACACACACACACACACACACACACACACAGGTTTGAGTAATCAGTAAACAAACACATTTTCCAAACCACACGGACTTGAGTATAACACACACACACACATACACAGAGAGATTGTGCTGCGCACACAGAAATATTCAGGAGCACAGAAACTTGTTTTCAGCGTTGCCCCACGACTTTTAATAAAATAAAATTCACACACAAAACACTCTTACTCTCTCTCTCAATCGGTTGCTCAATCAATCAATAGTTTATTCAAATAAATATCATAATGCATTAATTCAAATAAATGTGACCCGCAATATTTCATCTCTGTGTCTGACCAGAAGTGGGCAGAATGCTAGCGCTAACGAGCCGTAACTGAAAATAACCGTCATTTTTACGGTCAAATATTGCACTGCAAACATCAACAGCTTTAGCTTGTAAATACTGGAAAATTACTATGGTATATGCGGGATAATGCATGGCTAGCTATGCATTAAACAATATTATTGCACTCTGTGTCGGGTGGTCCTTTGCCTCCAGATCGTGCATTAAAACCCTTTGATCACAGCTAACCGTGCATCATCCCTTATTTATTTTACTCCTAACCTGAACCCTCACTGAAACGTCTTTGTACTTTTGGACATTGAACACGTGTCTTCAGTGTTGAGCGCTGCTTGTTCCTGAGAGTTTCTGCTTTTCCTGATACACCCAGAATCAGCGATCACAAGCCTGTCTGGTGTCTGCAGAGACCCAAAGCCCTTCTGATCTCGATCTGGCTTCACTTCTTCATGCGAGTGGGTGTTTCTGCAAATAACATCACACACACAATCATTCCGCGGGGAAAGGTCCTGGCATGTTTGCTTCTTATTGATGGATTCCAGCATGTTTCAAAACTGTTGGGTGCATTTCAGTGATGCCGAGGAGCAGCTCCAGCTGCAATGATTCCTTTATCAACTATTTCATTTCCATCACGCGGAAAATCAGATTCGGCATTTTCAGTTTTAGCTGTCTGATGGTTTATGACGATCATGAACAGTCAGCAATAACCAACTATAAAACAACTCATCTCATATGACTTGTGCTATAAATTCACAATCTCGGAGAAAGTGGTGTGGTGTTTTACTGGCCGCTGTTAGCGGTGAGTTCATGCTAACGAGTCACGCTAATCACTAGCAGAACGTTTCCACATCAACAGCTCATGGGTGTGTCCAGGTCATTCGAGTCTGGACTGACTCACTCCATTCACGCTAATGAATCTCTAGCTGTAAGGCATCAGTATAAAACATGTAGTGCAGAGGACAAATAAAGAAATATATTCATACGACTCTCAGTAAGACTGAAGAAATGAGCAGGCTTTACAGTTTGCATGTCAAAGGATTCAGGAGCAAGAACACATTAACAGCTTTAACTCTGATGAATCATAAAGGTGCCTTTTCATGCTGAAACCAAACACTGACAAACAGAGCCGTTCCCTACAAACACGCCACGCCAGACCGACTTCAGCCAACAATACAGACACGTTCTGCTGCCTGAGCTCCAGTGCTGGGAAGGTTACTTTGGAAATGTAACAGGTTACAGATGACATGTTACACTATTTAAAATGTAATGAGTAGTGTAACTATTTCAATTACATTATTAATGTAAGTGATTACATGTGATTACATTTTGATTTCTAAAGTTCTAACAAATGTTTTCAGCTGTTAATCATTTTGAACGTATAAAGCAGGCAGGTTAATCTTACAGTAGAACTCAACACTGATTACTGCCAAAATCCTTGATCCTTTGAATTTAGGTTCATTTTAAAGCACAGCCACCACAAAATCAGACTTTAGCACCTCTTTTTACTTAGATGTCATTCTGAGGATAAATACAGATTTAAAACCATAACAAGAAATAGTTTAATAGCTATGATATTGTTTTTAAAATCAAATCTTTGTATAGCTATGACAGAAAACACTGGCATCTAACAGTGGCTTGGAAAAAAGAGTTAATCTCTTAAAAAAATAAAGCATATACATAAACCCAAATAGGAAATAAAACAGTTATAGAATAGTCAGTATTTATTGACTTGAGCATGTTAACGCTGGTTTTTGGAAGCCGGTTTAACAGTTTTCAGTGCTGGACACAACCGTCTTCACGTGTTTTCTGGACATTTAAGAGCATCAGTAGAAGACACAAAGAAACTAACTCAAGAACAAAGCTTGCAGTAAATGAACAGCTCAGGACCAAGAGCATCTCATTCATGGCACAGAGCCGCTCATATCAAACATTCA